GTATTTGATTGTGTTTATCTGCAGTTAGTTACACGAATTCAGTTATCGGATGAAATCGGATAGGGATGAACGAGTTTAAGAGTTTTAAGAGTTTAAGAGTTTTTAAGAGTTTTATCCAAATGCATTATAATATAGTATAGATATATATATATATATATATATATATATAGAGAGAGAGAGAGAGAGAGAGAGAGAAATGTTACTTTGCAAACCTCCTATTTCATACAAACAATAGAAATCATCATTAATCCAGAGAATAATTCCATGTTTCTTTTTATTTTTAATGAATAAGAGTATGAATGTCATTTTATTTTGTAATAGATAATCTTGGTAATGTTTTAATTGTTTTTAAATATGGAAGATTAAATAGAGTAATTGTTTTTAAGAAAACTGTAAATCAATTGATTTTAATATATAATTATTACCATTAATATTTTATATTCTTTTATTAAATTAAAAATATTACATCAATTACAAAGTCTATTTGTAATAATTTATTTCTTATAAAATTATTTATTTCTTATAAAATTATTTATTTCATTGTCATAATAACAAAAGAATCGATATTATTTTTTCAATTCACAAATAGTTACTGATTTATTAATAATATAGTTGAGATATTTTTCAGATTTTGAGTATATTGTTTTGTTCTCATTCGTAAAACAAATGTCATTAATGAAACCATGTTATACAGTTTTCAAAATGTTTCAAAATGAAACTAATTTCATTTTGGTTAGGAACCATGAAACTACTTTCATTAATGAAATAATAGTATTCAGGTCTTGAAATGTTTCATTGACTGAACCATATTTGGTTTCATTAATAAAACCAATTTCATCCTGGCTATAAACCATGAAACCGATTCCATTTTGGTTAGGAAACATGAAACAAATTTAAAAATGAATGGAATATTATTATTCAGTTCTTGAAGTGTTTCACTGACTGAACAATATTTAGTTTCATATGTAAAACCGAATTCATTTTGGTTAGAAACCATGAAACCGATTCCATTTTTGTTAGGAAACATTTCAATTAAATTCACTACTGAAACAATGTCATTCAGTTTTTGGAATTGTGGAGTCCATGAAACCAATTTCAATGATGAAACGAATTTCATTAACGAAAACATGTTATTCATATTTTTGGTAAGCGTATAACAACTGAACACAATGATATCGATCTCCTCTTGATAGAACGGGATCAGCTTGATTAAAGAGGTTTGAAACCGGGAAATGATCGAACAATATAGCTGAAAGTTAAAAATGGTTTGTCAAATTTGTCATTTCTTGATTAAATATTAAACCTTTTATTTTTATTTTACTTTCCTAATATAACACATTTTAATCATGACCATTGATCAAGAAAATAGATGGATGAGATTGGTTTGTAGGGTTTGCACAAAATGAGTGGTTTGCATTTGATCGTTCCTCTCTCTATATATACACACACGACATATTGTAGCAAAACGGAAACAACTTTTACCTTATCTCTATTTTAAAAAACCAACTTTTAAAATCATCATTTAATGGTCTTGATCAAACTTTTGTTTATTTAAGGACCTGGTTGACTTGTTGATCTACCAATGACAACAATGTCTCAAAAGTTTTGCCGAATTCCACATCATTATGTGAGAGTAAACTTCAATTTGGTATCATATATATCAAGTTCAAATACATAAAATATAAATACATAAAAATTGTTCAAATACATAAAATATAAATATAAGAGTAAATTACGGATTTGATACCTATAGTTTAGAAAATGGTTAAGTAAAAGAAAAAAAATGCCAAAAAGACCAATCTACCCTCATAGTTAACGGCCTAACCACCGTGTGACTTTGGGCCTTTTTGACCGAATATTTAGCGTCAGTTTCACTTTCACTTTCATTCTTGTATGATTATATCTTACCTATCTTTGTACTTCTAGAACTCAACTCATCTCTTTTTAAGTTGGTGTCTATTCATAGCTAGAGAATGATTGCTCTTGTCGTTCATACTCGTACTCGTTCGTATTTGGATGGTTTTGGCCCTGATGTAAATGCTTGAGTGTAACTCGAACAAAACTTGGTTCGGTCCTGGATATCCTCCATAATTGTAGGTCGGCTCGGTGTCGTAGTGGAAAGTTGAGAGTAGGTCTGATTGGATAAGCATGTTGAGCATATGTCATACATTCCCACCGATGGTGCCTTTCTACTAGCTATCTGCTTCACTGTATCAGTGAAGTCTGAAATTTTCAACTTAAGGGAAGAGAGACGTACCTCGGTTGGATCACATTCCATCATGATGTATCGGTGACCCGTAATCATATGGATAGTACGCCATATTAAATATAAAAATACTCAAAATCAATTGGCATCGGATACAAGATTAGCTTGCAAATATAAAATAAAAGAGAAAGAAAAATAAACATAAAATAAAGCGCAAAAGCTAACAACAAATCAACTCTGCCAATCCCCGACAATGGAGCCAAAAATTTGACGGGTGTCGAGCCCGAAAATAATGAAGTCCATTACCTTGAATTACAACCCAAATGAAAATAGTGGCAAGCAGGGTTAAATGTATTAATAATCGCACATTAAATGTACACTACAACAAAATCAACCTTATAGGACGTCTAGATTGTCAAAGCGTCATAATATAATAGTTTATAGAACTTATGTTTATAGCATCAAATTATAAAGTTTCTATTTAAAAACGTTACAATAAGTTTATAAGATACTTTTAGGCGTTTAAACAAGTTTTTTAACATGCTTTTAAATAAAGTGTCATATTAACTATTTTATAGGACACTTTTGAAAAGTATTTTAATAAACTCATCTTTTTATAAGACAAATATGTTTATAGAACACTTCTTCAATCTTATAAAATATAATACGATACTTTATTTTAAAAATGTCTCTAAAAAGCTTATTAAAAACGAGTCTGATAGCTACAGTATGAAAGTTAAAATTCATTTGAATACAGGACTCCTTGTAGGCACTTGGCTCTTAAGCCAACCACTTAGCATGCCATTGTGAAAATATGCAACTAAGGAGCCGTTTACTAAACACTTACCCGGTAAAATTCAATACTACCAATTACTTACCGGGTAAGATTTTTGTCAACAAAAAGAACTTTATATGCAACAATCTACCCGATAAGAGATGACCATGGTAAGAGTCATTGCCCTCACTTACCGGGTAAGACTCTCGATCCTTGCCTAGCTCTTACCGGGTAAGATTCTTGGTCATTGCAATATTCATCTAGTAAGATAATGTAACTTGGTAAGCACTTACCCGAGTAAACATCTGGTAAACGGCCCCTAACTCTGACTTCAAATCGAACCCAAATTTCATAGAAATTCATTCAATTAACAAAACAAGAAAGAAACCCCACATAACATACAAACCATCTATCATCATCTTCTGCTTCCAGATGTAACTAAGTTCTTGCTATCGAACTCTAATACCAGAAAAGAAAAAGAAAAAAAGAACCCGACTTAATTATTCGTATTTCCTACGATACAACTGAACGAAACAAAATTACAAGATGAATAAAACCGTGTTAACAATCCAACTTCTTACTTTCAATCCAGTTTCACCGATGAGAACAAGTAGTGCACGAACCAGAAAGAAGAAAGCAACCCAACGGTGCCCGTGGCTAGCATGATGGCTAGGACCATCAGGAGCGAGTAACCTAAGTAAAGGGTAGCCGAAACTGGTCCACTTAGGCTCTTGAGGTCAAAAATCAGATAGTTGATTGAGTACAAGAAAATGTACAATGCAACAGAACCAGAAGCAAAGAAAGATTTCCACCACCACTTCCAATCCTCAACACAAAGATGCATGTAGGTCAAAACTAGCGAAACCTCGGCACAAACGACGACCAAAAGGATCAAAACGACGAATAAAAACCCGAAAACGTAGTAAACCCGACCCATCCAGATGCTAGACATGATGAAAAAGAGCTCAATGAAAAGGGTCCCGAATGGAAGAGTTCCAGCACCAAGAACCAGAAGCCAAGATGGGTACTTTTGAGCGGGGATTTCACGTGGAATTTGATTGGTTCTAACGGGATATTCGATGTGAGGTGCTTTTGCACCAAAGTAACCACCAACAAAAGTTAAAGGAACGGAGATGCAAAACCATAGCAAAATGAGAATGACGAATAAAGAAAATGGGATCGCACCAGTGCTGTTTGAATGCCATAAGAGGAAATTTAAGGTGAAGAGGATCAAGAACGCGATACCAGGGAAAAAGCATGCAACTTTCCAAGAAACGGAGACCCATCCTTTGTGGTCCCCACAGAAGATGGTTCGCCACATACGTACAGCAACGTAACCAGCTAAGATTCCAAGAATCATGTAAAAGATTAGCATTCCGGTGACCAGGGTCCCACGAGAAGCGGGTGACATGAACCCGAGAGCCGCAAACATGATAGTCACAACTGCCATTCCAAGAATCTGAACCCCATCTCCAACCATTACACAAAGAAGTGCCGGATGGCCAGGAGCACGAAAAACATCCGCCACAACCAGCTTCCAACCCGACAACTCTTCGTTCATCTGGGCTTGAGCCTCTTTATCTAACTCCTCATAATGAGTCAAATCCCGCCTAACTGTCCTTAAAAATATCACAAGAACGATCCCAGCCAAGAAAGTGATAACCATAAGGGAATTCAGGATCGAAAACCAGTGAACTTTTGCTCCCTCCATTTTCAAGTAAGCATCCCATCTTGACGGCCATTTGATGTCACTCTCAACGAATGCAACTTCATATGTGAATGCCACGGGCTCATTTTCCTTTATAGCCATGGTCACAGTGTTATCTTCACAAATGATCTTAGATGGATACCTACCATAGGTTTTCAAATTCTTTACAGATTCGGCAGTGTGTTTAAAGCTGCAAGGTGTTACCTCAAACCCCACAACTATATATCCAGGAACATCCGAGTCCTGTTTCCTAACCGGAATTGCCTCAGCTCCATCCCCAGTTCCCATGACATTAGCCACATTCGTCTCTTCGTACTTATGAACCAAAACAGTGAACTTCAAGTGATTAAACACATAATACGAATCTTGAACTTTGATCCCTATCGGATAACCAGTCCACCTCAAGAAATAAGTGTCCCTTTTAGTATACCGAATGGCGGGCAAATTATCAAGGATCAAATTGACCTGATATATCTCATCGATTCGGTTAGTTAACAACTTGTATTCATCACTCGATAAGGGTTTCGTTTGACAAAGAAAGATCTCGCTCTCATTGGTGTGCATTTTAAACTTATAAGGCGAGTTTTCAATCCTATCACCCATCAAAAGCTCACCAAGATTCTCAGCACTATCTTTTACACCTTCTGGGGGTTGACAGAAGGGTAAACTATAGTAACTATATGGGATTTCCGTATCAATTGAAGTCAAAGAGTTGACTTTCACAGACAATTGATCACCTACGACATATTTGTGAGGGTAACTACCAGGGAGATAAAACCCATGACCCGATTGAAATACCAAACAGATCAACAAAACCCAGATCTTGAATTTATCGAAAATTTCCATTATCGAGCTTTACTTGTGTGATCTCCGTTTCAGATCTGGAAAAACCCAATTGGTAATAAGCAAAACCGGTAAACTTCAACGGTGGTTTTAGTCTATAAACTTGAAATTACAATCGGGATAAGGAGAAATCACAGGTTTTTTCTTTAGATCGTAAGAGTTTGAATGTAATTGGTAACCAGTATGTAATCAATAAACTTAAATAACGAATTAAAAAGAAGAATCAATCGCTATATATGATCATACATAAAAGGAAAGATTAGATAGAGATTGGAGTTACCTTTATGAAGTAATTAGGGTTCGGATAATTAGGGAAGAAGAGGGTCCCTGCTTGCTGGTGGTGCGGATTATCGCCGAAATGTATAGAGAGATAAAGAGCGATCTCTCGATACATATACCGTCGGTGACGCTGCATCGGGTGTGGTTAATGACCATTTTACCCTTCGAGTAGCGTTTACGACATAAGCATAATCAAATCCTTGATTATAATTCATAGAGTAAATTACAAATTTCCTTCCTGTGGTTTTACACAAATTTCAATTGGGTCCCTCAAACAAAATAGTTACAATTATAGTCCTTGTGGTTTCATTTTCATTACAGATTGAGTCCCTCAAACTAACTCTCTTAAAAAGATCCTTTGTTAAATGAAGGATAATTTAGTCTTTTCATCAAATGCAGGTTTATGCTTCATGTGTTGTCAATGACAGATCCAAACCATTCAATGAAATCTCGATCCAAACCACGACAAATCTAGATCTGATGTCTACCCGTTTCGATCTAGAGCTGGTTTGTCTCATTCTCGTTCTCGATCTGGTTTCATTACGTCCTCCAAACTTGATGAAATCACAATATTAATCATTTGTAAATTTGGGCATGGTGGTGCTCGGTGGTGTGGAGGGGACGATGAAGTGGTAAGGAAGGGGGTGGGAACCGGAGAAGATGACCGAAGGTAGTTACCAACAAAGTAAGGTTGGGTAAAAAAGCATCAAAGAAAGCTTCTCTCTATGTTTGTGTGGTTGTATAGACTTGGGATCATGTGAGACTAAAGATTTTTCATGAGGCCTGTAAGATCAATTCTCAACCATGGATTAGATCTATAATCTGAACATTCATAATCACAAAATTGTCACGAGACTTCTCAATAATCACAAAATTGTCATCGTGCAACTTTAGATCATTAGATCATTAGCTTATAAAGTTGATCAATGAAAATAAATTGGTCTTACGGGTCTTACAAAAAATCATTGGTCTCACGTGAACCTAACCCTGATAATATATAATATTAATAATACATAAATGATATATAATTTGTTTTTTACTTTTAAAAGAATTAAATGAGAAGAAAATGACCAAATGACCCCTTGACTTAATGGAGTTAAGTTAACAAAGTTAGAGATAGGGACTCAACCCATAATAAATTGAAACCACAATGACGAAACTTGTAATTATTTTGCTTGAGGGACCTCATCCATAATTATTAGTAGTTATTATTTAAAGGCAATTGTAAGTGTGGTATTAATTAAAAGTATCATAATATCTCAGATTCAAATTCAAGGAGGAATAAAAATCTACTTATGGCCACAGAGGTTCAAATACGATGACTCCGGGCTATCTGCAAAACAGGTGGTCGTCCTGTGATTAGTCGGCTTGAGTAGCGGATTAGATATCTAGGTTAATAAAAAAATTGTGGTCTTAATTAAATTACGACGGAAAATTATCTTTGGAATTAACGATTTCGTAGGATTAAAAAATTAACCTTGTTTTCCCCCCCAAAATGCAAAGCAATGTCAATGAGATTTAAATCATTTGATTAATGGCAACAATTAACCTTTTCGGTGACATTTATTATGTTGTTTAAAATCATAAACATAGATTTAATAATAACATATATATATATATATATATATATATATAGGGGAGCGATCAAATGCAAACCACTCAATTTGTACAAACCGTGCAAACCGCATTCAACCAATCATAATTTTTCATTTTGTTCATTTTTTTTGTAATTATGAGAAGTTGATTAACCATTTTTATTGTGGAGAGTGTTAATCATAGATATTATCATCTTTATAATTTTAATTTTAGAGAAATACATGAAACAGTTTCATTAATGTTAGAGAAATACATGAAACAGATTCATTAATGTTAGAGAAATACATGAAACAGTTTCATTAAGTATTATATGAAACAATTTCACAACCATATATGAAACAACTTCATCAAAAAAAGTATTATATGAAACAATTTCATGAAAAAATTTCATAAGATTAAACAATGAAATCGACAGATGAAGGTGGTTTGCACGGTTTACACAAATGAGGGCGGTTTTCATATGACCACTCCTATATATATATATATATACTTGAGATCATGTGAGACCAATGGTTTTTCGTGAGACCCGTAAGACCAATTCTCAACTTTTAGATTAGATCTATAATCTGACAATCTAAACATTCATAAACGTCACAAGATTTCTTAATAATTACCAAATTGCCACCGTGCAATTTAGACTGTTAGATCATTAACTTATAAAATTGATCAATGAACATAAATGGGTCTTACGGGTCTCACGAAAAACGTTTGGTCTCACGTGAACCCAATCCTATATATATATATATATATATATATATATATGATTTTAAAATTATTATTTGGTTATGAACTAATGATTGAGCTAATCCCCTCGAGATTAAGCGGTAAGGCATTATCAGAAGAAGCTTTTTAGAAAGCTACCTTACGGCTTAACAACCATGTCTTTTTGCATTTTAAACAGTTTGTGAAAGTACTTGTTTTTTTCGAGAACTCATGAAATTGTAATGACTTTAAGAACTAGTGCATCATGTGTTATTTCATATGATTTTTTTTTCATTTAAACTTAGAATTTAGGATATTGATTAACATACATTTGTTTCATATGTATTTGTTTCACAACGTAAACCTTTTTAGCATATTTGTGAAACAAAAAATTATACGTAAAAAAGTTTCACATTATGAAAACACGAAAGCACCCTTTACCTATAGTCAGTCACATGAGACATTAACTCAGTGACATGGGAAACCTTTCGTGCGATGTAGGTCGCGGGCCAAGTCGTCTGCATAACACCAGGTCATCTCACGTGTATTATAATATATTTACATGTGATAAAGGTGTTCTAGCGTTTTTGTAAAATGAAGGTTTTCCTCGTTTGAACCTTTACACAGATACACATATATCATGCTTTCGTTCTGCATCCTTATACCAATACAGATTTTCAGACACTCTTCTGACCTTTTCAACGTTATGATAACACAGTTAAGATGCACAGTTAAAAACCTTCATATGTTTATTTTTATCAATGTTTAGGAGTCTTCCATGATTCTTTTGATCACTTGATACAAAATATTTATTAACAAATTGAATACCCATTTTTTATGTACCATCGTGACTTAATTATAAGTCAAAATTGTTTGATGGTCACAGGGACAAACCTACTTTGGTGGTTACAGTGGCACGTGTCACCGTATTATTCATCTGTTGAAGGGTAAAGTTTTTTAGGTTCGTGAAAGGTGCAACCGTATTAATATATTGTGTGTCACCGTATGCATTTTGAAACTACAATGAAAACAAGTTTTATTCGGTAGAGTTGGTTTACAAGGCCTTTGTTCCACCCCAGACCCAAGTTCGAATCATGTTAGTGTCATTTTCTTAGTCAAATGATGCCACCTACTCAAAAAAATTCGATATATTTGTTTCTTATAGTCAAATGGTGTCACCGTTTGAAATTTTTTCTCCATAATTTTTTCTTATAATCAAATGGTGCTACCGTTTAAAAAAATTTATAGGTCCAAGACGGTCAAGGTCAACCATGTACAGGAGAGGGAGAGCACTCGTCGTCCACTTTGAGATCCCCATGTGTATCAAGATTCCATCAATTATTAATCAAGAAATTAAATAATATAATCATTATATTTGAACATTTTTAACCATTAAGACATATAGATGACTTAATGGACGGGTTATATCCATTGTGGGTTCACTGACCTTTCGCTCAACTTCTAACGTCTAGCTGCAGATCCTTACCCTTAGTCTGTTTATTTCGATTCTATGTTTCTGAATACTCTTATCAAATGTCATATCTTCCAAAAATAGTAACATATTTTCGTTTCTTCATTTTAGACTATTTACTTTTGATATTACAAAAGATAGAAATATATTTATAGTTACTTCTATTTTAAGCAATAAGTTACTGGAAATGTCTTTATCCAGTCATCTTTACTAACACGTCAAGCGACGTAAGTGCCTTCTTGGCCAGCCGATGCCACATCAATACTGGGTTTTGAGTTATGAGGAGAGCGGACAATGTCACTAGTTGGGTCGGGATGTCCCAGTTACTGTGAACGCAAATTTGATACACAATGTCCATTAATAAACTTTTAAGCTATAACGTTAAGAATTTTTTTTAAATTAAAAAAAAAACGAGCTTTTTAAGCAAAAATAATTATTAACAATGTCATATATGATGTTTGGTATCCCGTTTCTTGACAAATCCTAACTTTTCCTTTTGTTAAGACATAAATTACATTCTAAACGTAAAAATGTATAAAGCAGAAAAAGATTGACGTTGAGTTGAGTTTATTCAAATAGTTTAGAGATATAAATCCAAACCCCATTATTAAACATCTCCGCTAAATTACCAAAATTATATTGCATTAATCGGTTTGTATTTTCCACTTAATTTTAAGTCTATGTCATCTTAAGGTGCTGCTGATGACCATTGGAAAGGGGGCGAAATCTCCACTGTTCAATCAACAACAAGAAGGAGGGATTCCCCCAGCCCTTTATCATATGTATAAATAGGCTATTTTTATTAGTTCAAATATAGTTTTACATAATATTTTTTAAGAATAAATTTTTTATATATGTTATAAATAATAAACTTAAAGAATAAACTAGGAGTTTATCAAAAAGTACAAAACTTTTTAACTCTCAATTTTACATATATTCTTATTAGAAAAAAAAGAATACAAAAACAAGACAAAATGGTATTAACAAACAATAGAAATGCCCAACATTCATAAGGCCCAAGTGGTGGACAAATACCACTGATGGTCAAAAATTGGTTTCGGGTCGGATCTTATCAGTCTTGGACCTCAACGATGTCAGTCATAACCGGTCATGATCGAATATATTAAATCCGGTTAAGCATTTCTATAACCGGTTATGGTTACCTGGTCTTGGTCCCGGTCCCAACCGTTCCCGGCCAAAAAAAAAAATATTTTTTAAAAATTTTAATTTTTTTTAATGGTAGATTTTTTTAATACATTATAAAATTTGTAACTGGGTCACTCAAATACACTTTAAAATACGAGTCGAAGTCAAAA